AAAGATTAAAAAAAAATTTGGTCATTAACACTCACTTTTATATTTTCCCGTCTTTTTCAAAAAAATTTAAAAATACCCCTACGCACAAATCGATTCATTAAAATTCATTTTTTTCATTAATTTTGAACTTCATTTGAATGTATTTTGTTTTAATCATTCTTTATATGCTTCACATATTTTAGTAGATTTTTTTATTTATTTTATTTAATTTTTTCAACACTTTTTTGACCGCCCGAGACTTGCTCTGTTATAGCGGTTGAATCGGCAGGTTTACCAGTTAGGCCAGTTAAACCGCTTCCGGGCACATGTCCGGTTAACCGTTCCAGTTAGATTTGCGAACACTGGTTTTCACCAGCTTAGGGTTCTAATGCAAGACATGTTGATTTGCATTTTTTATTTTCTTTTATTTAATTTCAGGGATGTAGTTTTTAGGATGCTCTTAAGGTTTATTTATTTTCTTGGTTATAAGATTTTTTTTAAGATTGTATATGTACTTTAGAAAAACAGCTAAGTCATTTTCTGTTTTGGTCAAAGGTAGTATTATTTTATTTATAAAAGGTACTTTGGTCATTTCCTCTTATATTTTCATTATGAATCTAACTTAATTTGAATTAGAATGGACTTGGGATTTTCTTGGAGTCTACCAATAGGGGTTGGTCTTGATACAAAGTTGGATATTCTTGGCTTGCAGGCTTCCACCATTATTTTCAGTCAAATTTTCAGTTCTTTGATTTCTTTCAGTGCATTGAATACTACACTAAGAGGACTAAGAAAAGACCCTCACACACGTAAATCCAATAGCTGTTCACATGGGCAAACAAATTCATGATGGATGACACACTTGGAATGTTAACTTTGCTTAAATCCAATAAATGGACTCATCTTCTTGGATTTATGGAACAAAAAACGTGGAACCCACATAAAAATGTTTGCCCTAGGCTGGTGATACTTTACTGAAAGTCTGAACTTTGATCGGTAAATCACATCAGATTACATTAAAAATCAGTTTACGACATAAAATGTTTTTATTACAATTGTAGTTCTTCTAGGTTTTTTTTTTTTTTTTAACGTTAACTGTTATTAGTGGGTTAGCAATTTTTGAAACCATTAGTAGTTTTTGTAAGGGGTTAGCATTGGTAGGAATGGAAGCCGAGACCAGTAGCTGAGTCACAAGTGGTGCTACCACCTTGACCTCAACCACATTCCTTTTTGGGTTATATTTTTGTTCCTCCCCAACACACCCGATCCCAACCACATACCTCTAGAAGGCCGACTCGTGCTGTTTTTTAATACATGGATCCCAGTTACTTAAACTTCAGGTACTATTGCACTGGTTAGTTAACAAAAGCAAACAACCCACTACATTTTGAAAGTTAGATCTCCTGCCAAGCTCATTTTCTATTTCAAACAGCCCTACCATATACTAACATGTCCTCTTTGAACTCAATAAAGCGCATCAATGTATTGACATGATCCTAAACTAAGAATTTTGTTATGTTTATCAACATGCCAGAAGATACTGTCTCGTTTATTTCTTCCTGATGAGTGTCTTATTTAAAACCTCCCAACAGGGCATATATTAAGATGCCATTGCCATGGAGGGGGAAACTATTTCATCTAGAGACTAGAATATTCTTGAGGGCCATCAAACATTGAAAGGAAATGTGTGATTCCCAACTCTCAAGGTATCCACTTTGGCAACTTCAGCTTGTCCCTTTGTCTTTCAACCAGATTCATTGCTTTCTTGAAAGATTGAGATAAATGTTCAGTAAATATACATGTTGCAAAACTACAAAAGAGGCAACATTGTCATTCGCTTCCATCGCTTCCATTGACAATAAAAGCACTTTGTTTTAACAAAGCACATTATATTGATAGGTGAACATGACCAGTTTGCTTGGAAGTTGGAATTTGGATCGTCATGCATGAAATTTATGAAGTTGAATTCTTAGGTTATGTAATATTTGTTGAATTTCATTAAGGAAAAGCTATTGGTTTGACAGGGGCATCAGCCAAAAACGTGTGATGCCTCCTCATTTCTCCATATTTTGGTTGATTCAGGACCCAAAAACCTGCAAGTCATCCTATTGAACCCCCCCTGTCACGCAAGATACTGAAAAAAGAGAAGGATTTGGAGCCCTAAAACTCCTCCATCCTAAATGGCATCTCAATATGCAATCTGGACCATCCATTTCAATAGACCCTAGATCAATCAGATTTGCATTGTTTTAGAAGCCCCAAATCAGTTTTTCTAAGGTGGAGATGGATTTGCAGGGGCTAAGAATGGTTTTTGGGTCCATAACCCATCAAAAGGACAGATTTTGAAGGGGAAGCACGTGGTGTTTCCAAGTGGTGGGGCGACCCACTAACACCACCCTTTCATAAATGGTCCAAAGCTCAATTTGTAATAAATTCCGGCGGTGAAGATATGAATATGAGATATTTTGGCCATAAATACATAAAAAACAATGCATGTATACTCAACAAAATGGTCATACTGAATGGCCAAAGAATAAGTCACATTATGGTAACTGCCAGAGACCTGCTTCTTCAGGCATTGTTCAAAAAGAACTTCTGATAGCTAGCCATCTGACATATAGAACTCCATAATCCAATACTGCCTTGATCTCCCTCTGGGCTAAACTCATCCTTATTTTCACTTCTATTCCAATCACCCACTTCCTTCCCAATTGGGAATCCCTTTTGAACCTCTCTGTCACACCCACTAGAACTATAGCAATGTGGACCCCCCCCCAACCTGGTTTTCTTAAACTCAACATGGACGGCTCTTCTTTTGGAAATCCTGGACCCTTTGGCATTGGCAGCACCTTGGCAAATGCGTTTGGCATTTTCCTATCCTTTTCAAAATTCATTGGGACTGCAGACTCCACCACTGCTGAAGTAAATGCCCTCCTTGAAGACCTCAAGCTAGTGCCTCAATCTTGGTCGCAATTCCAAGGTCTAATTGTTGAATCAGACTCTAGCAATACGATCCTCTAGGCAAGTCACCAACAACAGCCGCCATGGCATCTTTATCCCATATTTAAGCATATCGATTTTCTTTGCAGCTCCATCCCACATGTAATCTTCAAGCAACCTGTGTCCCTTGAAATCCCACACCCTATAACATCTTCTCTCTCCTCTTCCTCTCTCTTCGCTCTCCTATTCCTCTCCCCTCCTCTCCCTCTTAGGCAAGTTTATAAAAAAAAACAAAAAGATAGTAAAAAAGGAGAAAAAAAGAATAAAAAAAAGGGATAAAAAAGGGGGGGAGAAAAGGGATTCCAGGAGATAACTTTTCTTGGCTCTCCCTGACTGTTACTCTTCCCCCCCCCCTTAATCTCTTACTCACTCTCACTCCCTACTCTCTCTATACTCTTTTTAGTGGTCTTTTCTCTCATCCCTCTCCTTATGCACTTTCTTTCTTCCTGCCCTCCCACTGTCGCCCCCTTCCTCTAACATCTATCACCCCATTCTCTCGACTAACCCTACCATAACTACCCCAATCCCTATCTCTCTCTTCTCCACTTCCTTTCACCCTAGTGCCCCTTGCCCCTCCTTCTCTATAGTATTGTCTCTTCCTCTTCCTTATATGCTGTGAGGTCACTTCAGGCGGAAGGAAAGAAGCCCATCTCTGCGATGACACCATACACAGCACCTATTCAAGATATAGTTGTTATATTTGGGCATAGGGCTTGCACACCCTTTTATCTCCCAAGCCATCGCCTGCTTCTCTTCTTTTTTTTCCCTCGTCTCCTTTGCTACCCTCTACTACTATATTTCTCTCCTCTTTAACTGTACATTTGTAGTCTGAGCACCAACCTTGTGGGCTGCCGTCTTTTGTTCTTTGATGTAATACATTTTTATTATAAATACAAAGTTAATCATTTTTTAAAATACAAAGTTTACCATTTCCTCGTAAAACATTACAAATACAGAAGTTGCAATAGAAATAAGCATGCAACAAACTGTGCCTAAAACCATGGTCCTTGACATGTTCAAGCACATTTTACAATCAGGGGGCATTCATTTTATATAACTCGATTACCTTGGAGGAATTTGAATTTGTGTAGGTGGATGCTGCTAAGGTGCATGTGAAATTCATTTTGTGCATTTTGTGCTAGAAAGCCAGGTTTGTAATAAGAAAGAACATGAGCAGCAGTGAAGGATTGAGGGAGCAAACACTGCATAAATATTGAATAAGGAGAAAAAAAGGATACTACTCAAGTTTGTGATGCCACTTCTAGAGAAGCATTGGGGATGAAAGAGGCCCTGGTGTGTACTCAACCCACTAAGCAATAGTGTTCTAAGAATGAATCCATTCAAGTTATGTTCATGAGACATGGTGCCCATTCCTACCTTGGAGAAAAACAAAATGAATGAGAAGATCTCTTTTATTTTAATTTATTTATTTATTTATTTATTTTGAATCTGAGGAGAAGATGGTATAAGAAGGGTGAGGACCTTAAACTTTCGCTTAACCCACCCCAAGCCCAGGTCAAGATGGGTCGTGTTAGATAGGCATCCAACATAAAACTTTGCCAAAACTTTCCAAGAATCCTGAATCTACGTAATCTGCTTAGATATGGGGACTTATAGCCTCGCCTTATAGCCTCGCCGAGGGTATGGCCCTTGATAGAGCAGAAATGTGGACCATGATTCCATAGCCGACCCCAAATAGTTGGAAAAAGGCTCTAATGATGATGATAAGGAGGAGGAAAAGAGCTCTTTTATTGATGATAAAGGATAAGAAATCCGTAAGAGATACAATCTATCGAAATGAGGCCTTAATAATTCCTATAGAGAAACCTAAAGAAGACCTCGTCATCTACACCTACAAGATGAAAGCAACAAACTCATACACATGAATAAAAAGTATCAGAGTTGGTTATAAGATGGAACGAGTTTTCAACACAAGAACTGTGTATGGAACTGCAGCAAAGCATACAAAATATATGTTTGTTGTTTCCTATTAACATGACTTATCAAAGACAAAAATATACCTTGCATATTGATGGATTTGCGAAAATGGGGCGAAGTACATCCATTACATCATGCAAGGCAATCGTATCCAACAAATAATCTTCCTTCTCAGTAGAAATCTGCAATATAAAAAAATTTCTATCAAATCGATGGGAAACATATACAAAGAGGGAATTTTATTTGAATAGTTCGAAGCACCAGCATCCTACCTGCATCAGAGCAGTAAAGCCCAAGAACGAACGTAAACTATGCTGTTCAGTATCAACAGCAAAGATACGTTCCTTAGATAAAAGCTTGGCAAGCGATTCTAATTGGGGAAGTGTATGTATCCATGTGTATGATCCATCCATACTTGTCTGTTCAATGCCCATAAAGAGGTCCAAAGTAGGTGGTGAATTCTCCAACAAAGATGTGATTTCATCTCCATATGGATGCCGGTCCACAATTTTTCCTGGTTAAATTCACCCTCATAAGAGTCATAATTATAAATTAATAAATAAAGTATTTATTCTTTGAAAAGCTCCTTCATTCAAAGTTAAATATCTGACTAAATACAATACATAATTATCAAATCACAGGAAGGTGAGAAATATTAGTAAAAAAGGTGACAAAGATTGGATGGACAGTAGAATGATGCCATGAGCAACTTCACTCCCCTCACTGAATTCTACTTCAAGTGATATAAATTTCAAAGTACCATAAAGAAAATAATGAGTATACAAAAAGAAAAAGGAAAAGAGGAAGGCATTACAAGTAACTTGCAGGGAAGTTGTGAGAGACTGATAGAGATGTACATACCGGGGTGATGCGATCCCTGTGGAAGGAGATGGTTGAAGTCGGAGAAAGAGTTGTCCGCTAAGACTTTTTTGAAGTGGTTTTGGGGCTTATCTTCTGCTTCAGTAAATTGGCAGCATTTGCGGCTTCGGCGCTGGTAATAATGGCGGAAGACAAGATGCCACAAGCTGTATGATACCGCAGCAATGCAGGTGAGAGCCATAACAGTCAACCCTACTCCCTCCCTGAACTCCATTTCCATTAGAGTAGCGGATCTCTCACTCTGTTTTTGTTTCGAGTGGTAGGATCTGGAACACACTGACTCCGGCAATTAACTTAATCGGAATCCATTTTCAATAAAGAATTTTGGGTCGTAAACGCTTTTTTGAAATTTGGATGATCTCTTCTTAATCTTGTGAAATTAAGATGATCTCTTATCTATTTTACTATATTATTTGAGAGAAAATATCAATAAATTGACCAAACCACCTCAACAAATCAATAGGGTGATTACCTCAATTGATTTAATGATTTTTAAATACTAATAATTTATATCATTTTACTTAGCTACACACTCAACTAGCTTGCTGGAAACTTGCAAAAGCTGCCCTAGCAAGTGAGGCCATTTTAGTATTTTTCTTTTAAGTAACTTTACCTAATTGATTAAAATCGGTTTTCAAATCCTAAGCATATTTATTAGTAGGGTCAAATTATCAAAATGTCCCCATTTGTTTGGGTTTCAAAACTAGAACATAAAATTATTAATGAAAAAGTATGTTCTATATAACAAGTAAGAGTATTTAAGTTATTGGGCACAAGTAACTTTTGTAGTCTAAATTATCAAAATGCCCTTATTCAAAGTTACAAACCGAGAATAAAATCAATGAGGAAGTTGCTTAACAAAATTCTTAAGAAGGTAGCTAAATACACTTAAGCTACTTAAATAAATAGTATTTTAAAGGAGAAATCACTTTATTGGTAAAATTATATATTTGACCATACCAGAAGTTTTATGAGGTGAGCTCATTTAGTATTTTTCCCTTTTCATAAACATATAAAATGCATATGAAATTTTGTTGATAGCTGAGTACATATATTTTAAAAAGTAATCACTTTATTGATAAACTTATTTATTTCACCATCTAAATAATTTTATGAGGTGATTTTACCCAATATTTTTGCATTTACCAAGCATATGTAGAATGCATGAAAGACTATTTGGTCACTTGGCTAAGGGGGTAATATACCCAGAATTTAGAGTTCGATAAAAACTTGTAGGCAACGTTTCACACGAGTGAGGAAAAGAGCCTGGATTTAATTGGTTGGCACTTGACAATTTGTAATGCTACTATTCTAGGCTCAATTCCTATCAAGAGTAGAGGCCCTCTCCCCAAAAAAAAAAAACAAAGGATTTTATATGAGTGAGAAAAAAAGCTTGAGCTTAATTAGTTAGTGCTTGACAATTTGCAACGCTACATCCTAAGCTCCAATTCCTACCAAGGCCCTCTCCCCACTGATTCACCTAAACAAAAAAAAAACAAGAAAAAGGTTTTACGTGAGTGAGTGAATGAGAGAGACGCTCCTAGAGCATATAATGTTTTAGTTTCTCTATCTTGATAGTTGAGCTATGTCAATTGATGTGTTCCTTTTTCTATCTTCCTTTCTCCCCTTTTGGAGTCTCCCTTTATCTTTAGAAGGACACGGTTTCTATGACTCTATGTAGAAATGAGTCACTTCTTAAAAATCTATTTTTGAGTTGGATTTTTAGACGTAATTTTTTAGGGTACGGTTTGTATAGAACCGAGGCTCTAAATAATCAAAGTAGAGTGCACCTTCAAATAGTATCACGAAATATGGTTTCAATACTGAAAATCTTTGTGATAGTCTTAAAATATATTTTCATTTCTAATTATAAAATTTTAAAGCTTCAAAAATATTGTAGATCAAGCAGATCTATGAAAACTTGAAAATCTTCAAAATTGACAATCCAAAAGTGCATTACAAAATGCACTATTTTCAAAACTTGAAATCCATTTTTTTTCATGTACATGCATCTTGAGGACGAATGACCAATTTGATGATATTTGGACCTCAAGACAACCTCTCCTAGTGAAATTTTTGAAGTGGGCCCTAATTTGATTGTTTAGAGCCTCGGCTCTATATAAACTTTTTCCAATTTTAAAATGGATGCTATATACTTGGGGGACCGTAAATATAGAAATACGTCCCCGCTGCATGAAACAAATTTTCATCTATAGAATTAAATGAAAGGGAAAATACACCACATTCCCTTTGGAGAGGGTACACCTTGGGGTATCCTTGGCATGTTCTCAGCATAGATTGTGATGATCATCTCGGATGAGGTCATCACCTTAAACTATGAACGTGTTAATGTCTATTGTCCATCATCAGAATGAATGGCAGATGCCCACATATTCTTAGTGGTGTATGTGTGATATAATTTCCCTATAGTGAGGATCTATTGATCTCACAGTCTCATATGCATTCTCTCTTTATCTTTGCCTTTGGAACTAGCCTCTTTCTTTTTGTTTTTATTTCTTGCACTGATTAATGATACAAGGGGGGAAAATACACTCCTATCCTTTAGTTGTTTCTGACCTAATTCCCCATTAATCACTTTATTCAAAGTACAACTTATTCAACTTGGAATTAGAAGTATAGGATTGACTAGAGAGAATATCATATTTTGATCGAGAGCTACAAAAGTTGGGGCTGCCTCTCCTATGGGGCTTTTCTCTATTGCTCACTCTCTCTTTCATGTAAAGAGGAGAGAGATAATATCCCATGATTCAATCATTTATTTTCCATATGCTTAAACTATTGGTGACTTGTCACAAGGAATCATGAGTTCACTTTACATGTGTTTAAAAGATCTTGTGAGATGTATTTGCCTTTAAACCAATTCCAAAAATTGACATTACAAACAAATTTCACTGGTATAAAAAGTTCCCAAATTTACCAAAGTATCCATTTGAAAATATGATTATTTCGATCAAGGGAAGTGACCAAAATTAGAAAAGTGAAGAGAGACGAGGATGACATCATCTAGTAGTTGGGGATGAGCCCCCAGATAGGCTTAGATGTAGGCCCCCATGAGCTTATTTGAGGCCCATTGGCTATTTGGGCCTCATATATGCCGATGGGTCACATGCTTTTTTTTTGGTGTTTTTTCAAATTGTTTTGTTTATCTTATTTTCCTAATAGTGAAAATTTCTTAAAATCTTAAAAATATCCAAAAATTATTTTTCAATTCTTTTTGTCAAAACGAAGTGGTTTGAACTTATTCAAAATGTATTAAAGGTGAATATGGTAGAGCCAGAAAATTGATCCAAGGCATACCATGGTATGCTACCCCAACAACACGATCTTGAACCGGTCTAATAGAATCCATGATCTACAATTGTATATGTAGGGGATCATGATTGGTCCATTAAAACTTCTTTTTTAGAGAAGACCATTGTGTATTACAGTACTCCATATGAACATGATGAAGCCACTTTCAGGCTTGTGCACCACAATACAAAGGTGCGAAGGACTTGTATTTGGCACATATGCATGTCCTCTTCTAGCCCTCCATGAAGAGGTGGCTTCCCACATGCCATGGGATAATGGTGTTGAGGATTTGGCCCAAGCTGCCAACCCTGTAGTCAGTCTTCGTCTAGGCATCCCACAAGCATATCTCTCATATCAATGAGGGATGACCCATACCCTATTTACGACGAGACATCTCAACCTCGATGCTTGTGGTATAGGTTCTCATGATTCTTGACACCTTTACGGGCCCTAAAAGGTCAAGGCCCATTAAGTCATAGCAATGTTAGTCTTACTCTCCCATCTCGAATGGGCCTAAGCTCCAAACCTGGTCCCTTGCTCAATTATCATGCTCCCATTAGAGCCCAAATATCCACCATATAAAGGGTTTGGGTACAAGGTTGTCAAGCACTTAAAAAGACCACAAGGTTGTCAAGGCCTTGAAAGAACACACAATCTAATATCGAAAAATAAGGTATTTGAAGAGAAAAACCTCCCAAATTTCGAAGATTTCTTCTTTTATTTTCAATCTTCAAGTCCTCTATTAAAGGGGTGATTGAATATGATGGGATTCTTTGAGAGATCGGTAGAAAGATCAGTCTATAATGAATCTCAAGCCTTAGTCTTGTTGATTTAAAAGGCAAGACCATGTGAAAGCTTCTGAAATACAGAGATTTCATATTTCTAGAACGATGGAGAGAATCAAATGAAGATCTTGAAGCTAAAATCCAAAAGAGTTCTAGAGAAAAAACATAATAAACCGACACCCTTTGCCTATACTTATACAGAGTCTATAAAATTCCAGCTTCTCATATATGTAATTCTCTTTCTTTCTTTGAGTTTCTTTAAAGCTTTGTAATCATAGATCAAAGGTAATCTTTTCCTGGTATAGAGATTAAATGTAAATAAAACAAGTTGCTTACAAGTGCTTGGAACTCTTTTTGAACGTTTCCTAATGAAAAGTTCTTAATTTTCACATGATCTTGAGCAAGTCCCCTGAATTTGTTCGTCTTTGGAGTTGCTTGGTTGAAGTCGTATCTTTCTTTCAAACTTACTACAAATTTAGGCGAATCATAACAAAATTGAAAAACTAAAAATTTGATTTTAAAAAAAGATGAAAGCTTACAAGCCGAACTTCTTGGCTCTCTTGTTTATCTCTGACTCTCAAAAAAAATGATATTCAACTCAAAGAAAAACCCTAATACAACCATTGTTTATATCCGTAGACCTTAATTCTAATTGAAATATAAGTCCTAGTTAAATTTCACGAGGACTTTGACTGCTTTTCAAACATCCCTTAAACCTCTAAAAAATAAAAAATAAAACCCTTAGAATTCATAAAAAACACCCCTAAAATAACATTCATAAAACTTAATAGAAATTTTGAAAAATAAGAGACATCTTGTCCTCTTCTCTTGCATCAGACTCCACTAGTTGGATGAAGCTCATCCTTGAGTTTTAAAGTAGACTAAGATGAATCCTCCACTAAAATCACCATCTTCTTCAACTTGAACATTATGCCTCAAATTATGGCACTTGCTTTATTTGCCAGAAAAAATGATATGTGAAACTGGGGTTTTACAATCTACTAACAAACGCATAAACTGCTAAAGGAAAGAGTTATTATATGCTAGTGAAGTAATTGTGATTTATATGCTCAATTCAGCTACATAAACTTGTTGGATTTTCCCAATTTTAGCTGCATAAACCTGTTGGGGAATTGCCTTAGTTCTGTCCTATAACCCTATTGAAATTGTGCTGTTTCGGCCCAAGAACAAACAAAATAAAAAACTTCTTCATCAAACTCTATATTTCTTGCTATAGTTTCCTCGATAAATGGAAATCTTGGGGTTCCTAGTTCACCTAGCGAACTAGAGTTCCTTCGTCCTTTCCAAAATCTATTCTACGCCCACTATCCCTAGGAGAAAGGGTCTCAATTTCCTCAACTTCTTCTAAAAGTTCGTCATTTACTAGTTCACCTACAAGATCTCATTTTTCTTCATAGGTCAAACTAATTACAAGATCAAAGAAGGAAGATTTAAGTAAAAAAACCAGAAGACATGCTTATCATCAAAGTTTCCTCATATGCCTCTAGGATAGGATCTTCTTTTTTTTCCTCATCAAAGATAAGTTTTGTACGCACCTCATTTTGAAATTGGTTAATTTTTTTTGAGTTCCTGAACCCTAGGGACCCCAATAACCTAGGAGATTCTAGTCACCTTTATAAACCTAGAACCCATAACTTTAGACTTACCCAATACCCCAAATAGTCATTCTAGATAGCCCTAAGCCTAATAGACATAGCAAACCAACTTGGACGTGAACCCAACACCCTAGAACCTGTAACCGATATTAAAAATTCCTTGCCCTCTATACCCCTCAAAAGTCATCCAAATTGGGCCAATTTTGATTCTAAATCATAGAGAAGATCAAGAGATTTCCAACAAGTCAACAATCGCCTTAATTTGACTTACGGTTTTGACTCCGACAATTTTGTTGCTTTAAATTCTATTCAAGTCTAGAGCCTAAGGAGCACAGCATTTATGCCAAAACATTAAATTACCAAACGCGAGGTGCGGCATTTGACCTAAAAAGTGCCCAAACAACGCGATAAGCGTTGTCCACAAACTCTGACTGAAAAGCGAATAGAAATAAGTAAGAAAAGCGAATAAGCAACTAGGATAAGCAAAAGAAAGGAACACATCTATTGAAACAGAAGTAGAAGATGAAACGGAGCAATTAAAGGACACTTACATGAACGATTTGTCCCAACCGGATGGTATCCAATAGGTCCTCTCCTAATCTTTAATACAAGACTTGAACACTCAATTTTAAACAGATAAAACTCACAAACAAAGACACTCCTGAGATTTTTTCGATGCCTTCTCCTTCGGTCCTCCCTCCTTATATAGAGGAAGAAGGCGGACTTCAAAGACAAACTTCAAAGTATTTTAAAATCCGCACCGACATCTTTTCGAAAAGCAAGATTCTATTTAGTATAGTAAAGAAAAGTAATATTCTCTACAGTGAAAATTTTGTTGGTGGCAACAATTTTGTTGGTGGCAATAATGCTCTTTCTTTAATTGTAGCTTTAGGGATATGTGTAGATTTGGAATCGTACCGTCCCCATCTCTTTAATTCATTGGGGATAATATAGAGGTCCTCTCTATATTTTCTATACTAAATGGTGATGACTGTTCAGTCTTTAAAGATTAGGAGAGGACCTGTTGGATTAATACAACAGGTCCTCTCATTTTCTTAAACGTTTGAGAATAGAGATTTATTTTTTGGTATATAAACCTTTAATAACACTTTGTATATCACCATACAACAATGTCCTCTCATTTTCTTAAACCTTTGGTGTATATATATATATATATGGAAGATGCTAGGGTACGCCGATTGGAGTGCTGCTACAGTAAATGCCGAGTGGCCCAGATTGAATTTTGGCCGATCTGACGATCACAGATGTTCGGTAGTGTTTGAATTTTAATTTTTTAAAAACACTCAAAAGCACTAAAAATTTTAGGTGTGTGTTCTTCTCATCTAAGCACACCTAATAAAAATATATAAAAAATAATAATTCACAAAAAAATTGACCAAAATTACCCAACGAAAAAAAATAGGGGTATTTTGGTTAATTTATTTCTTGTAAAATATTTTTTGATATTTTTCGTAGTCTAACCTATTTTTGAATTAACACTACCTAAAATTTCAAGTGATTTGGATTTGTAAGAAAAAAAAAATTAAACTTACAAA